GATTACTTTCTTTGTATTTTTAGTAGAGACGGGGTCTCGCTCTTGCTCAGGCTGGTTTCGAACTCCTGAGCTCAAATGATCCTCCTGCCTCGGCCTCCCAGAGAGCTAGGATTACAGGCATGAGCCACCACGCCCAGCCGAGCCCAGGATTTTGAGGTTGCTGTGAGCTAGGCTGATGCCACAGCACTCTAGCCTAGGCAACAGAGTGAGACTCTGTCTCAAAAAAATAAAAATTAAAAAAAAAAAACTTGTTTTAGTCGGGCATGGTGGTGCACACCTGTAGTCACAGCTACTTGGGAGGCTGAGGTGGGAGGATTGCTTGAACCCAGGAGTTCAATGTTGCAGTGAGCTATGATGATGCCACTGAACTCCAACCTGGGCAGCAGAGCAAGACCCTGTCTCTTAAAAAGAAAAGAAAAGAAACTTATTTTGTTCCTGTTGGTGACTTATAGGGAAATACTATAGAAAGCATTTATTGAGCACTTAAAAAAAAATAGATACAGACTGCTGTTAGAGGTTTTCTATTTGTTCATATTTCAGGATATCTAGAAAAAACAAATGCTTATTTTCTGTCTCCTCTTGGCAGAACCTGTGTTCTAGTTCTTCATCATTTTTAACTTGTTAGCTTTTTCTCACTATTACAAAAGAGCCAACACTGTTCTGAGTCCTTTATCTGTATCAACTTATTTAATCTTCAGCACACCCCTTATGGTCATTAGTATTATTATTCCTTTTTACAGATGAAGAGAACGAGACCCAGAGAGGTTAAGTAACTTACCCAGAGTAATAGTGCTGGTAAGGAGTAGAAACTAGACTCAAATTCAGACAACCTAGTTTCAGAGTCCTTGCTCTTATATACTATGCCATACTACCCTTTGTTGAAATTTTTGTAACACTGACTGGCAGGTAAGGTTTATATAGAATTCTAGGGTGCTGCTTTTTTTTAAAAAAAAATTAAGTATTTCCTCTAATTTTACCTTATTTAGATAAACACATAAAGCATTCCCTTGTTAACCCTCCAGTGTATTCCCATCTACTCTGGGCCAGTGAACTCTGCTTTTCATTCCTCTCTCATCTCCCTTGTCCTTTCTGTATCCTACTGAAGCCAAGTAAACTATTTTTTGGCTATTTCTACTTACTTTTTATTATGGTTACCTAAATATTTTTCTAACCTTTTCCTATATCCCGTCCAGCCACATTAATAACATAACTGCATGCTTTTTATTGGAATTTCCTCACCCTTTTCCTGATTTACTGAGTATGACAATCTAAGAAAAAGAGATGCTATCTCTCTATTAATATTTCTCTCCTTATATTCTCACTCACTATATTGCCTCTCCACTTTGATAAAGGAAAATTCACAAAAGCGAAGTAGTATAGCAAAGTAGTGAAACATTTTATGAAAGCCAGTGTAGTGGCTCACATCTGTAATTGCAGAACTTTGGGAGACCAAGGCAGGAGGATTGCTTGAACCCAGGAGTTCGAGGTTGCAGTGAGCCATGATGATGCCACTGCACTCCAGCCTGGGTGACAGAATGAGACCCTGTCTCAAAAAAACAAAAACATAACATTTTATGAGAATTCTGAAAGTATCTTGTCTAATGTACCTTTTGTTAAGAATTTAAATTTCTAAAGAGTAAGAACTTAAGTCTAATTCTATATAGTACCATCTATAAACGTTTTTCATTTACTGTCATCTGATAATATTAATAAAAGTCTTGTCAGTATTTCTGCATTCTAGACCACTTTCCCACAATCTCCAGCCAACAACCAGTAGCTCTTGGTTGGGATGTATAAACTATACCTTTCCTTTGGGTTTTAGGAACAAGAAGGGAGTCTGATTTACACCTTAAAGATCTTAGTTCAATAAAAATTTATCCCTTTCAAAGGGAGAATCCTTTGGGATTTAAACATCATAATCTATTTTTTTGTTTGTTTGTTTTCTAACTTTTAGTTATGGCAGTTTTGATTGGTAGTCTTGATGTCCCAGCTTTAAAGGTTCTATTGAGGCAAAGACTGGCTGTGATGGGGCAGACTCCTTTGCCTACCATAAATTGAGGAAATTCCCTTCAAGCCTGTACTGAAGAAGTACAACAGATTATTTTACATTTTGTAGTGGAAAGAAATTCATTGGATCTTGTTCTTCAAAGTAAGGGAGCTATCCTCTTGAAGCAGAGGTATCACTCAAGCTTTCACTGTTGATATTTTTTCTCATTTCCTATAGAAGTGTCAGTGCAACACTAGTTTCAAACAATGTTACTGTGGTAGCTATGTGTCTTTCAGTTAGGCTTTTTATTGTTAGAACTCCAGTTTACAATATAAATGCATGATATTTTGTTGCTAAGAAATGTTTACTGTTATGTTTATTTTTGTAGATTTTTGTGTGTGTGTATCGCATGTGTCTGGAGGGCTGAAGGTTTAGTAGACATAGTTTAAATATGTTTGCCTTCCTGTTTAAGTAACTTTGCAGTCTTTCCTTCTAGGCAGGCATTCAACAACCTGTTCTGCTGTACCTCGCAGTGTTTCGAGTTCTGCCTTTTTCACTTGTAGGGATTCTAGAGATCAACAAAAAGGTAAGAACTCATTTCTTATTTAATTGCAATATTAATTTTATTGACAATAAGATGTAATGTTATCATTTAATTATTTATTAGGTGTTTTGATTGGGAATGTTCTCTTGACTGTAAAAGGTTCACTGACCTGATTTATTTCATAACAAAATACACGAAGGACATTTGACTTGGGAAGAGAGCCTAATTATCCCTCAGTCTTTCTGCATGTTTTTATGCCTCTCAAGTGGATAGTGTTGGATACCTGTGGTCATTAACAAACTATTTTATAAAATTGCAAAATAAGTAAGGTATTTTTTTAGAGGGAATATCCCAAAGCTTTTTAAAAATGATCATTAAAAGAAGGTGAAAAGTTGCAACAAAATGTCTCATTTTAATTGCAAAGTATAGATCTAAAACTGGATTTAGGATATCTAAACAAGCCTTATAATTAAATATGTGAATTTTCCAACTCACTTAGTTTTGGGTTTGGTTTTGGCCATTGTTCTTGATTGTATGTGACAGTTTCATGGAAGGAAAGAAGGGGCAAATTTCCCTTTAGTAAAAGAATCAATAGCCTTCTACTTTAAAAAAGAATTGTTGCTTACTCTGAATGAATAGTTATTTATCATACTAGTCTACTAGTCTTTAATTAAGCACCTGAAGTATTGTGGAAGACAAGATCTTGAGGGTCCACTAATGTTCATTAGCAATCAAGTTGAATATATTAAAATTTTATATTATGTAAGAATAATATACTGAACTGCATAAAGGCTGAAGAGTAATATTAGGTATATTAACCAAATTTTAAAATAGAGTGGCTACTTTATAATAACACTCATTTAAAAATATGTTTGAATTACACAAGTCCTTCTTTTCAAAGTGGGGAACCAGGATCAGTGAATTAAAAAGTCACGAGCTAGTCAACATGAAGGCAAACCATAATCATCCTTCTAGAAGATGACAAAAAAGTACAACTCATAATTTAATCGTTCTCTTTGTGCTTGTGGATTAAGTAATTATGTGTGTTTATTACAGTTTACAACAGGAATGAACACTTAGCAAAGTCATAAATTGTTTCTATTTATTCCTGTATGTTCAGGGTAATTATCTGAGATTTGATTTTGATTATGGTTACTTGGGATTGAAATACATCTTTCACTTAGCATGCATAAGACTGTACAGGGGCCAGGCTTAGAATGTATAATATAATACTTCAAGCTATTAATTGAGGTGGTAAATCTTAACTAAGTAGGCTGTCTTGAGTAGAAATAAAACAGATTTTCACCTTATTTCTAGTTGTTCTTTTATTGCTGTGATATTTGCCTGTGTTAGCTTTTGTTAAATATTAAAATAGGCAAAGAATCAAGTTCTTATCAGACCTGTGTGGAGAATCATGACAGAAAAGAAAGGGGACAAACAATGAGCCAATAAGTGTCCTTGTAGGTATTTGGTCTTTAACATGTTTGGATTTTATATGACTAAAAAAAAAATCAAACAGTATTAGAGATTTAAAGAACAAGGTAATGATACAATTTTGGATTTGACTATTTCTCTTATAATTACTTTCCTAGGTCCAATTTTTTCACTCTTTTTTTTTTTTTGAGACAGAGTCTCACTCTGTTGCCCTGGCTAGAGTGCCGTGGCGTCATCCTCACTCACAGCAACCTCAAACTCCTGGGCTCAAGCTATCCTCCTGCCTCAGCCTCCCAAGTAGCTGAGACTACAGGCATGTGCCACCATGCCCGGCTAATTTTTTCTATATATTTTTAGTTGTTTGGCTAATTTCTTTGTATTTTTAGTGGAGACGGGGTTTCGCTCTTGCTCAGGCTGGTCTCAAACTCCTGAGCTCAAACCATCCACCCACCGTGGCCTCCCAGAGTGTTAGGATTACAGGCGTGAGCCACTGTGACCAACCAATTTTTTCACTCTTTGTTTTTTTTTTTTTTTTTTAGACAGAGTCTCACTCTCTTGCCTGGGGCGAGTGCCGTGGCGTCATCCTAGCTCACAGCAACCTCAAACTCCTGGGCTCAAGCGATCCTTCTGCCTCAGCCTCCCAAGTAGCTGGGACTACAGGCATGCGCCACCATGCTCAGCTAATTTTTTCTATATATATTTTTAGTTGTCCAGCTAATTTCTTTCTATTTTCAGTAGAGACGGAGTCTCGCTCTTGTCAGGCTGGTCTCGAACTCCTGAGCTCAAACAATCCGCCCGCCTCGGCCTCCCAGAGAGCTAGGATTACAGACGTGAGCCACCGCGCCCGGCCTTTTTTCACTCTTAATTAGCTGAAAAATTATCTTTATAAAGAGCATGCTAGCGTAAACAATGAGTTCCTGGCAGGATATGCATGGTAAATTAAACATTCATTTAAAATTACATGGCCTCAGTATAATGCCATCAGGAATAGGATTTGTTATTAATAGATATTGACAAAACTATGAAGCAAATGAATGCTGGTGCATCATTTTGAAGGGTATTTGCTAAACTTTCATTAGTGTTCCAGTCTGAAAATCCAGTGGCTTACTGCTCACCTCTAATAACACTTTAACCTCAAGTTGCTAAATTATAATTAAGTTTTAATGCTAGGCATCAGTGTTACAGTGGTGACCTGAATATTAAGCAAGAGTATAAACTGCTGTGAATGCTTAGAGTATTGGCCTTATGGTCTTTTCTCAGGTGATATATGCCTTTCCCCCCAGATATTCGGGAATGTTACAGATGCTACCTTGTCTCATGGAATACTGATTGTGATGTACAGCTCGGGATTGGTCAAACTGTATAGTTTCCAAACCATCACTGAACAGGTATAGAAAACTAAAATTTGCTGTGTTATAATTAGCATGAGGTTTGGACTGAGTATGATTTTTTTTTTTAATGAGCTGCTTTTAGAGTAAGGCATTTGTGTAGGTTTCAACTCCATAAAACTATAGAAATGCAGAAAGACAAAGTAACCTTTAAAAGAGGGGTGGGAAAGATAAACAGGCCCTTGAATAAAGACATTGTCTCTGTAATGTACATGTGAATTTTATTTTTTTCTCTCTAGACAGGAAATAAATAGGTGCTAAAGCCACCATTTTTGTTTTGTTTTGTTTTTAGTTCATGCAACAGAAACTTGACTTAGGGTGTGCATGCAGATGGGGTGGGACTACTGGAACTGTAGGAGAGGCTCCTTTTGGCATTCCTTGTAATATTAAAATCACAGGTATGGCTACTCTATAGTATTTTTTCACCTTAAAAAATAAGCGCTCATATAAGTAGTTATTAATTATAATCATCCAAATGTTTTGCTTATTTATTAATAAACTTAATTCATTTTACTCCTATACAGCATATTTCTTGCTATTGAATAAGTGTCAAGAAAAATCTATTAGTTATCATTGAACTGAAAGCCTAAGGATGCTGGGCCTTGCTTGACCAGAGACCTTTGGCAAGTCACTTTCCCCTTCTGATTCTTGATTTCCTTACCCTCAAAGTGATGAGTTGCAGCAAATGATACCATCTTAGCTCTCTTGAAACTTAATATTATGCAATTCTGAGAAATTTACCCATCTGTAAGAAAAGTATTTTCCAAGGAAAATACTATTACCATGCCATCTGAACATAGAGCTTAAACACACAGACAACTTCCCAGTAGACTTAATTATTGACAAAACACAAAAAAGAGAATTATATACAATTCTGTAAATATAGTAAAAATGTTCTGTATTTAACTAGCTCATCAAGTTCAGTTTATTAATAAAGAAATCAACAGTGACTCAAAGTTAGCAGTGTATATTAAAAGAAATAAAACATGACTATTCAGAGTTCATCTCAGGAATCCAAGGATAGCTTAATGTTTGCAAATGTAATAGATATAAAAATTACATGAGTTAATGAAAAGAGAAAATATATTTTATTATCCTAATCTCTATTTATCTTCATTCTTAATTCATAAGAGTCATTTCTATCATGTTGAGGACATTTTCTTTAATTTCCAACCAGTAAGAATTATATTTTTTGGTGAAACTCAGAGGTTTTTCTAATATATGCAGAATAAGACAAGAATTCTTTCTGCCATTTTTATTTTACATTTTATTGTCAACAGATCAAGAAACAGAAATGAAAGTTGTGATTGTTGGAAAGGAAAAAAATGTTTTTAGCAGTAAATGACAAATTATAGAAACTGCTGAGAGAGTTCAATACAGTATTTCTCCATGCAGTTCAAAATAAGTATTTTAAAAATTACTCAAGTTTTTAGATGCCTTGGACAAGGTGAATTAGGCAGTTTTATGAAAACTCAGCCCCAGGAATACCTCCCATATTAAATACAGATACACTAGCAAAAATCTGTTAAGAATTTTAAAACTACGGGCTCTAGTGGTAACTAGAATGGGTTATTTTGGAAAGAGTTTCCCAAAATGATAGCATTACTCTTGTTGAAATGTAGAGAGTAAGTGAGTAAAACAAAGAATAAAGGTGATAAAACACATAGAGCCTAAAGGATTGTGCTGTGGTTTTGGTCCTGTTTATAAAAAAGAAGATTGGGTTTCGGATCAGAATTTTAGTCTGCTACTAGTAAGAGTAAAACTCCACTACTAACTGCTTGTATGATAGTGGGCAAATTACTTAACCTTTCTGGGTCTCACATTTTTTAACTTTAAAATAATAATGTTTGAAAACACAATCTATGAAATCATTTGTCATTGTAAAACAACATAATTCAGTGATTTGGGGATGTTTGACTAAGAAAAGTAGCATGTTGTATTGGAGCATTGAGTGATTATTTCACACTGTAGAGACTGAAATTTCATTCATTTCTCCGTATTTGTTTTTCAATGTGATTAAGGTCTATATGAAATAATACTTATTTTAACTTTAAATAACTTTTTTCTTAATACAAAAGCAGTTCCTTTTCATTACAGAAAAATTAGGCAATAAAGATACACAAAAGAGAACGTTTAAAACACTCTCAGTCCTCTTACATGAGTTAACTGTTATCACTTCAGTAAGTTTTTTTCCTGATTTTATACTGTGTATATTTCTATAAGTTTAAAACCAAGAAAGAATCATTCAATAAATGCTCTTTCATAACTAGCTTTTGACCCTATTGAGCTATAATTTACATGTAATTAACTGCACCCATTTTAACTGTAAAGTTTGTTTTGTCAAATGCATACACCCATGAAACCACCACCACAATCAAGATTTAGAATCTTTTCATTATCTCAGAAAGTTCCCCTGTGCTGTTCCCAGTCAATTCCTCGCTCCCCCCAGCCCTAGGCATCAGTGATCTTCTCTCTTTTACTCTAGATTATATATTTTAGAGTTTTATATTAATGGAATCATATGGTATATACCTTTTCATCTGACTTCTTCAGAATATTATTTTTGAGATTCATTTCATGTTGTTACATGTCTCTGTAGCCTAACCCAGTTTTTAATGTTAATATATTATGAGTATTAATTTCCATCTAGATTTTTTAACAGATTGGTCTTGTGAAAACAATAACATTGGAGTCCTGTATTACTCTTTACATCAAAATAAATAAGAGGTGGATAAAAGATTTAGAAGTCTAGAAAAAAACAGGGGAGAATCTTTTTATCTTAGAGTGGGGAAGGCCTTTATATTTCCTTTTCCTTTGTTTTCTTTTCTTTTTCTTTTTTTTTCTTTTTGAGATAGGGCTTTACTCTGTCACCTGGGCTAGAATGCTGTGGCAACTTCAAACTGCTCAGCTCAAGTGATCCTCCTGCCTTAGCCTCCTAAGTAGCTGGGACTACAGGAGTGTGCCACCACGCTCAGCTAATTTTTTTATCTTTTTGTAGAGACAGGGATCTCTTTATGTTGCTTAGGCTGGTCTTGAACTCCTGTCCTCAAGTAATCCTCCCTACTCAACCTCCCAAAGTGCTGGGATTATACATGTGAGCCATTGCCTCCAGCCATAAATGGCTTTTAATTAGGGGGGTGCAAAGCTCAATGTCACTGTGAATAGAAATGAAAATTAAAATTATGGTAAAATATATCTTTTCAGATTCTCAAATATCGAAAAGTTAGAACTTTTGTTATAACATGGTTGGTGAAAGTATAAAAGAGGCACTTTCATTTATCTGGGTGGCCTTTTATGGCCCCCAACAATTTGTCAATATGACATTTTGTCCATATGTATCAAAATTTTAAACACATGAACTCCTTGAGCCCAGCAATACCACTACTAGGAATTTGTCCCAGACATATTCATGTGTAGAAAATGGTAAGTGTACAATTAAAACATTGTTTCTAATAGCAAAAGATTGAAACAATGAGTACATTGGTAAGTGATACTAATATTATTTCATTTTACAGCTGTATTATAAATTTAATTTTTAAATTATTAAAAAGGAATTTTTTTTGCACTGGTATAGGACAATTTCCAAGATGTATTATTAAGTCAAAAAAATGGGTACAAGGCCGGGCGCAGTGGCTCACGCCTGTAATCCTAGCTCTCTGGGAGGCCGAGGTGGGCGGATTGTTTGAGCTCAGGAGTTTGAAACCAGCCTGAGCAAGAGCGAGACCCCGTCTCTACTAAAATTAGAAAGAAATTAATTGGACAACTAAAAATATATAGAAAAAATTAGCCGGGCATGGTGGTGCATGCCTGTAATCCCAGCTACTCGGGAGGCTGAGGCAGGAGGATCGCTTGAGCCCAGGAGTTTGAGGTTGCTGTGAGCTAGGATGATGCCACGGCACTCTAGCTTGGGCAACACAGTGAGACTTGGTCTCAAAAAAAAAAAAAAAAAAAAGGGTACAAAACCGAGTATGGGAAAAGCTTTATTTGTGTAAAATATTCATACTCAAATATTAAAGATTTATATACAATCATATGCTTTTGGATTTGCTTGGGATATCTGGAAGGACACACAAAAACTTGATAAATAGTAGTTACCTCTGAGGAGACACAGATGAAAGGAAGACTTAGTTTTCATTAAGAGGTCTGTCCGGGAAGTATCCAGCCATGTTATATGAAAAACAGAGAAATTTATTAAAGACAATACAAAATACAAGAAACACTGTACATAGGATAATGATGCCTCAGTCCCCTTCAAAGTAGGCACCTTGAGTCCTCACACAGTTCTCCCAGTGTCTCTTAACCTAACCCATACACGTTGATTATTCTCAGGTGTTCTGCTTGTTGCAGGCCTTCTAGAATGTGGCTCACTTTCAACAGATTCTTGACCATCTTTGAAGCATTTGTGCCACACTTTTATTTGCACTACACTCGTTGTGTTGTCCCCAAAAGCCTTCTGAATTATCCAAATAGTTTCCATGGAGGCATGTTCAAGCTTAACAGAAAATTTGATGAAAATTTGTTGCTCTACTTGCTCAGTCATTTTGACTGTGATGGCCACATAGTATACATGCTCACTCAGTGGTGTCTAGCGCCCCACTGAACTACAGAGAAGGCGTCATTGTTTATGCATGTGCATCCCAGTTCATTCTCCTTCGCTGCCAGGTTACATCGAGGTCACACAAACCATTCTCGTTATATTAACAATGGCTGGATACATTCTGGACAGACCTTGTATGTCATCTGATACTTTTTAAATGTACTGCTTGTATTACCTATGCCAAAAAGTGTTTCTGTGTGTATGTGTGTGCATATTCTTGAGGTGTTAAGGACTTATAAGCTGTTTTATGAATGAACTATGATTTACTTAATCAATTCCCTACTTTGGACATTTAGGTTATTTCTAATTTTCTGTAATTATAAATAGTACAAGAATCTTCTTGTAACCATTAGTGATTCTTGCCTGAATCAGTTATGTCATGTGAGTTGCAGAATGGCAGTTTTAAAAATTCTGTCGTTCCTTTTACCTTTAAGAGCCAGCATTTTACTATAAATAAAAACGTTAGGCCGGGCACGGTGGCTCACACCTGTAATCCTAGCACTCTGGGAGGCTGAGGTGGGAGGATTGCTTGAGCTTAGGAGTTTGAGACCAGCCTGAATAAGAGCAAGACACCATCTCTACTAAAGATAGAAAAATCAGTGGGGCATCATGGCACGCCTGTAGTCCCAGCTACTCAGGAGGCTGATGCAGGAGGATCACTTGAGCCCAGAAGTTTGAGGTTGCTGTGAGCTAGGCTAATGCCATGGCACTGTAATTAGGGCAACAGAGTGAGACTCTGTCTCAAAAAAAAAAAAATTCACCAACTAGGAATGAACTCCTTCTAAAAAGTCAAGGTAAATG